CTCCTCGAGTGCTTTGAGGAGAGCGGCATTGATGGCATTGGCTTGCTCTTTGAAAGGCAGTACTGAGAATCCTTCGATGTTAATCTGGCTAGCTAAATTACTGTGGGAGGTCTTTAGGCCGCATAGGCTTTTTGTTTCACCCTACCACCTTTTCGGGTTTTCTCCTTTTAGGTGCTGGATCTTTAACTCATAGTATTTCCTTCTGCAGATTTTCCTCTGTCGGTTGACGGGGTTACGAAAGTATTTAAATTGAGCTGAGTCAGGGCCGATAAAGGGGGGTCCTGGCAATTTGAGCACACAAGCACGCTGATAAGCACATGGTTAGCGTAAATAATTGTTGTTTAAAGTTATCGAATTCGAGTTTTTGAGAGTCCGTTTCTGTAACCTTCCTCGATATTTTCTGTTGAATTCATTGAGGTTCAATCTTGGAATTTCACAGGTGATTATGAACGATTAATTCGTATCGGCACCATAATTTTGGGGAAGTTTTGTTTACACATGACCAGTTTACAATTCGTGAACCATTTCTGTAACTTGCTAGGATATTTTCTTTTGAACTGATTGAGTCACACTCTCGGAATTTCATCAGAAATTAAGAACGATAAACTCGTATATGTAGCACAAGTGAACACGTTTTAAACTTTCCATACGATTTTAGGAAACTATTCTTAATTGACTACCGATAAATTGGCCTGGCATACCTCGTTGATTATTTTATTATTTTAAGGCCCCAAAATCCCGCTTTATGACTCTGGAGGTACTGAACTTGATATATTTGATACATAAGGTATCCTTTAAGGAGGAAGGTTAGAATAAAATTGCTTTTACGACCGTCTATTGCACTCGGTTCACATATGTAGATAATTGCTTAAATTTACCTATTGTAGCTGCATTCAGAAGCATAGACATGTGATATGCTTTTGCTTTATTTTATTGTAAGAGGTTTCTTTTTATGTAGCATATATCCGTCCCTATTATTTCCTCCTTAAACTGCCTGTAAATAATTAACTTTTATGTTTTAATAAAAGTGACTAAGAGGATAAAACAGAAGTGTTGTAGAGCTTTCTTTCGAGATCGAATTGAGGTGAGAACATTAGCATGCTAGATAATGTCATATGCTTCTCCTGAATGTTTAATTTATTGCCCTGGATTTTTGCAAAAAGCCTCTTTTATAACTGTGATGATGAAAATGTGATAATATGAAGCACTTACTATGGAAAAACCTGTTGCTGGTAGGTTATGTCTTTAATGTTTAAATTTTCATTGGAAAGGTTTTTTTTTTAAAGTAAGGATACAGGAGTTTTTAAAGATGTTAGAAATAAGCTGTTTGCAAATAATGAAAAGCAAATTGACAACCATGTTTTGATGCTTTACATGCTTCCCTCGTAGTGCTATACATGTCAGTTGTGTGTACCTACCATTGTAGAGGTGTCTTTAAAAGATCTTTTTGGTGTGGATTTGTTAATCTTTACAACCGAAAAAGCTAATAAAGGCGCTGAACTTCAATTTTTGTGTACACAGGGTACCCTCCAAGGTGAAAGAGTAGAAGACCATAGAATGATGTTTACTAGGCACTTGCACTTACTGCAATCACATGTTCAAGCAAAACTATACATATATAAAACTGATTACATGATGTCCCTTTACATCCCAACATCAGTCTGCATAGTCTCCATACTGTTCTCTATACATTTCCTATTGTGCTGGCAAGGAGAAGTTGCTAAACAATCAAGAGGTTCTTCAGTTGATTATCATTTCTTTTATTCTCATAACTTAATGTTTGATTCAGGGAGAAATAAGATGCTAGTCACTCTCAGGGATTAAAGGGTTAATAACTGTACACAGTTTATTTGCCACTCCTTGCATTT